AAGAATCCTCACTACTCATCTTGGCCTCCACTAACTGTTTGTTTAACATAGCTGATAAAGCCATATCTGCATCTTGATCATTGGAAGATTGACAGACCAACAGGTCTCTCATGCCCATAACCTAAAAAAAATGGTCAGATTACAACATCGTGTATCTTTCAAAAAATCTTTTAACAGTTAACTCCATGAATGCTCATTCTTGACCTTCAAATTGAAAATTGAAAAACAAACTCTAGTCTCAAAGGTCTCAAAGGTCTTAAAAATTCAAGTCTCAAAAGGACTCCGATTATTTTTATGAATTTCCTCTCAGTCCTTTTCCTCATGAGAAAACATATCCCTAGTGATATGTGTTCCCCCACCTGGGAAACACATATCCCTAGTGATATGTGTTCCCCCACCTAGAAAAGAGATATCCCTAGTAATATGTGTTCCCCCACCTGGGAAACACATATCCCTAGTGATATGTGTTCTCCCACCTAGGAAACACATATCCCTAGTGATATGTGTTCCCCTACCTGGGAAACACATATCCCTAGTGATGTGTGTTCCCTCACCTGGGAAACACATATCCCCATTGATATGTGTTCCCCCACCTGAAAAACACATATCCCTATTGATATGTCTTCCCCCACATGGGAAACACATATCCCTAGTAATATGTGTTTTCCCACCTGGGAAACACATATCCCCACTGATATGTGTTCCCCCACCTGGGAAACACATATCCCTAGTGATATGTGTTCCCCTCCCTGGGAAACACATATCCCTAGTGATATGTGTTCCCCCACCTGGGAAACACATATCCCTAGTGATATGTGTTCCCCTCCCTGGGAAACACATATCCCCACTGATATGTGTTCCCCCACCTGGGAAACACATATCCCTAGTGACATGTGTTCCCCTCCCTGGGAAACACATATCCCTAGTGATATGTGTTCCCCTCCCTGGGAAACACATATCCCTAGTGATATGTGTTCCCCTACCTGAGAAAAACATATCCCTAGTAATATGTGTTCCCCCACCTGGAAAAAAACATATCCCTAGTGATATGCGTTCCCCTACCTGGGAAACACATATCCCTAATGATATGTGTTCCCCCACCTGGGAAACACGTATCCCTATTAATATGTGTTCCCCCACCTGGGAAACACGTATCCTTAGTGATATGTGCTCCCTCACCTGGGAAACACATATCCCTAGTGATATGTGTTCCCCCACCTGGAAAACACATATCCCTACCGATATGTGTTCCCCCACCTGGGAAACACATATCCCTCGTGATATGTGTTTCCCCAAATGGGAAACACATATCCCTAGTGATATGTGTTACCCCACCTGGGAAACACATATCCCTAGTGATATGTGTTCCCCCACCTGGAAAACACGTATCCCTAGTGATATGTGTTCTCCCACCTGGGAAACACATATCCCTAGTGATATGTGTTCCCCCACCTTGGAAACACGTATCCCTAGTGATATGTGTTCCCCCACCTGGGAAACGCATATCCCTCGTGATATGTGCTCCCCTACCTGGGAAACACATCCCTAGTAATATGTGTTCCCCCACCTGGGAAACACGTATCCTTAGTGATATGTGCTCCCTCACCTGGGAAACACATACCATTAGCAATATGGGTATTCCGGGTAGGGGAACACATATCACTAGGAATTGTTCCTGGGTAGGAAAAACACATTCCGCTAGGGATATGTGTTAGAGAGAACACATATTACTGTGACATGACAGTGATATATGTTGGCCTCCTTATATGTGTTCCCCAGAACACATATCGCTAGCGATACATGGAAACACATATCCCTGGTGATATGTGTTCCCCTACCCAGGAAAGACATATCACTAGTGATATGTGGTTTCTGGCTTGGGGAACACACTCCACACTAGTGAGTTGTGTACCCGGGTAGGGGAACACATACTTGAGACTAAGCAAAGAGTAAATGTCATAAAATGGCCCCTACATATAATAATTATATGTAGGGGCCATTTAGGGTTAGTCAAGACCTGGGTGTCAAGACCTGGGTGTTTGGATAAGGAGTAATATTTAAAGGAGAAAATAGATACATTAGTTACTGCTTACCCAGCCTCGGAGGTGCAGTAGGGCACTTTAATTTGAGGTAAATGACTATAAGAGTTTACCTCTCCTAAATAGCGATTCCTAAAAGTGAGTCCAGATACGAGTTGAGAAGAGTCTTGTTTGACGCAGTTGGGTCGCTTGTCCAGGAAAACCCCACTTACAGCCACAGAAGAGGGGTTCAGGCCAGCAAACCGTAAGACATTCTCTGTGGCTAGTGACAGGCCAGTGTGATGGGAGATTCCCTGTGATGCATTTTTCAGTTTCATGATGTAATCCTGGGTACGATGAAAGAAAAGTCAATATTTCAATCTAAAATGACTGCTCAGAATGTCTCAATTCAAAACTATGTATGATCACAAGAGATATAAATGACGTTTGTGATTGGTTTTAGAGAAGAAAACAAGGGCTAAAACGATGCCGCCACCCCAATAACAACAGGAGCTGCAGTATTTACTATATTATAATATTATCATCATCGGAACTAAAACATATAAAACTAGAAGACTAGAAGAGGTGCACAGGGCTCAAAAAAATTTCCATCCAGTAGCCTGGGACAAGTAGATTTTCTTGCTGGGAAGGAACATTATTTTAAAGTTTACTTGCCTCATAGGCAAAGTTCCAGGCAAATCATCCTCTAACAAAATCATTAACTAAGATGAGCCAGAAGCGGCTCCTGGCAAGCAAAATAAGAGAGCTGCTTATCCAAAGGACAATTAGCTGGAATTCAACTTTTCTGTGATGTATGTCCTCAGCTAGTATGAGCCAAATAGAGTCATCTTGCTACAGATGCATATGTGTTTAATTTGTCTGAAGACATCTCTACTAACCTGAAGTAAAGACCTTGTTGTTTCTGGAGCCCATTTGATGGCCTCCATGATGATTCCACTGCACCGATCAGCAAAATCCCTGACAGTTCCCTCGCGACCATCCATTTCCTCAGAGACCGTCAGCCTGAATGGTACAGAACTGGGTACGTTGATCTCAATTGTCTGGTGGTTCTCATTCTAAATCAGAAAATATACATTTCATAGTGTTAGAAATCAGAAACAAGGTCTCTCCAACCATCTTTAACCCCAATACTACACATATGAATTCATCACACTGAACTCTACACATTTCCTTACAAAATTAGTTGAGAGAATAAAGCATTAATTTTTCTTTAGGCAATCATTTTGTCAATTCTCATAACCTCTTCTCTTGGTTGAGTAATCTGTATGGTCTGCTGATTTCCAGAATTAACTATAGCCTCCTAAACAATAGAATACTAAAGTGTGACGTCATAAAAATGAAATGTCTGAAATTATGGGATTTGTCAGGATGTTCTGAAAGAACAATGTCCAAGAGGCCTACTTGCCAAAAATGAACATTTCAGGGAAAATTGTCTCTGAGATAGTAGCCCAGTTATGCTAAGAAAACTCCATACAAACCCTTCTAAACTTTTTTGGGTCAACCCCCAAAAAATTAGAAGGGTTTGTAGGGAGTTTTCTGAGTATAACCGGCTAACATCTCAGAGACAATTTGCCCCAAAATGCTCATTTTTGGTAAGTAGGCCTCTTGGACATTGTTTTTTCAGAATATCCTGACAAATCCCATAATTTCAGAAATTTCATTTTTATGACATCACACTTTAGTACTCTATTGCTTAGGAGGCTATAGAGTTTTCTGAGTATGACGGCCTTACATCTCAGAGACAATTTGCCCCGAAATGCTCATTTTTGGTAAGTAGGCCTCTTGGACATTGTTCTTTCAGAATATCCTGACAAATCCCATAATTTCAGAAATTTCATTTTTATGACATCACACTTTAGTACTCTATTGCTTAGGAGGCTATAGAGTTTTCTGAGTATAACGGCCTTACATCTCAGGACAATTTGCCCCGAAATGCTCATTTTTGGTAAGAAGGCCTCTTGGACATTGTTCTTTCAGAATATCCTGACAAATCCCATAATTTCAGAAATTTCATTTTTATGACGTCATCACTTTAGTACTCTATGAGGAAACAGAAAGTGTGTATTATGTTTAATAAAGTTTTATCATTACAAGGAGATAGCATTGCATGATTACTGACTGGATGATTGAGGCACTGGGAGAGTTCTTGAAGCAAATCCAGCATGAAGTGTAATACTCTTCCATTCCATAGAAGATGGGGAAACCTAAAATCATACATTAAAAAAGAAGAAAGACAAAGTCACTGATTATTACCCAAGTAAATATTAAAACTGTGAAAGGTTTGAACCCAGGAGTCATTTCAAAAGTAGGTTGAGTTTGATCGTCCAGGTGAACGTAGTCCTGAATAGGACTGTTGTTGTTGACAGTGACTGTTAACAACAACTGTCAACAACTGTCAACAACAACAGTCCTATTCAGGACTACGTTCACCTGGACGATCAAACTCAACCTACTTTTCAAGTAAACATTGTTGAAAGCANGGCACTGGGAGAGTTCTTGAAGCAAATCCAGCATGAAGTGTAATACTCTTCCATTCCATAGAAGATGGGGAAACCTAAAATCATACATTAAAAAAGAAGAAAGACAAAGTCACTGATTATTACCCAAGTAAATATTAAAACTGTGAAAGGTTTGAACCCAGGAGTCATTTCAAAAGTAGGTGGAGTTTGATCGTCCAGGTGAACGTAGTCCTGAATAGGACTGTTGTTGTTGACAGTGACTGTTAACAACAACTGTCAACAACTGTCAACAACAACAGTCCTATTCAGGACTACGTTCACCTGGACGATCAAACTCAACCTACTTTTCAAGTAAACATTGTTGAAAGCACGGTGGCAGAGCATGCAGCTAACATTTTTTTCCCAAAATATTTTAGGGGCTTGAGAGAGCATTTACCTCAAAGCAAGTTAACAAGAGTAACCATCTCCACACAGTCAAAACTAGTCACTCTTTTCTACGCCCTTACTTGTCAACAAAGGATGAGAGATACTTGTCAGCAACACGTCTGATCCTTTTCTGCAGATGATTGAACTTGACAAGCAAAAACTGTGCATGTGTTTCTAATTCATCTTCCCTCTTGGTTGTCCTTGGTTTTTTTGACATGACGTCAAGAAACACGGAGAAAACTTTGTCCCCAACAGCAGAAATACACTGCCACATTCCTTGAACAATCATGGGGAAAAAGTATTAAAGGACAACTTATAAAAGTGAGGAAAATTATTTCAAAATTATATAAATAACAGTCCTTTCTTGACTCTACATCTTCTACATGAATATAAACTGTTACTGAGAAGGGAAAAGTAAAAAGCACACAACAAAAGAAAATCCTAACCTATTTAATTGAACAATAATACCAGCAAATTTTGATTAATCATAATACAGTTCACAATGGGTAAATGGTAATAATAATATTAGTAAAATCCAACTAGTGGTCTATTATCAATGCTGCATTCAGATTGATTGAGCTACTACTAGGCTCTGTGTTATAGCCCCTAGTAGCAAAAAGTGCGGGCTTTTTGGCGGCAAAAAGGGATTAAAGTCTAGCTTTAACTAGCTACATTTTTTCATTCTCAATAATTTTGACCAACTAGTTGGATTTTACCAAAACAATCATTCCTCTCGCCCTCATGGCCTCTGAGTCAATAGCCCATGAGGCCGAAGGCTGAATGGGCTATTGACTCAGAGCCCATTCAGGCTTGACGAATAATTGTTAAAAGGTTCTTCCTCACCAGCTTTATCCTTTTCAATGGCTTTGTCCTCTAAATAGTCAAAGATGGAATAAAATTTGCCAGGATCAGATGACACCCGTAGAGATTCCAACCGATAAACAGACAACAGGTATGTACACTGTCCAAAATTCAGTCTGTTCACCAGTGGAATGATCTCGGCAGGATTACTCAGAGCTTCCAGCAGAGAAGTGCGGACCTCATTCAATTCAGCCTGCAAAAACAGTTAACACGCATCAACTTACAAAAAAAATGTCAACTGTCTAGCAATAATAAAAGAATACCCTGTGGCACAAAATTTTTGCAGGAGTTTATTTTTGCAGATTAGCAATTTTTTTGTGTTTTGCGAGAACTAATTTTTGCGATTAGGACAGATTGGTTTTTCTTTCTGGGAATTACTTTTTGTGATTTTCAGAAAGTACTTAGTACCCAACATTGATAATATTTTCGTTTTTATTGAGTACGTGCAATAGAAATACATATTTTCAGTTGTGATTGAACAGACACAATTTCTTAGTACTGTATTTTTGTATAGTGAATTTAAGTTAGAAAATTTACTCTGGAGTAAATTTTTGCAGGAAAAATGTTTGTGGCAATTTTTATTTGCAGGAATTTCTTTTTGTGGATCGCTGGAAAAACTGCAAAAATCGCCAAAATTAGAATAGGTAAAAACTAACATTTGACTGTGAGAAGTTCTACTGTGTGGCACAAATTTTTTGGTCAAATATTAGTCTAACAACCCCAAGGCTGACAAATTTAGGAGCTACAGGGCCAGAAGGGTAGGAAGAAGCAGATGCTTTACTTGGTTGAGGCCACTCTACAGAAAAAAGTAGATATGTGCTGTTTAATATCATAAGTCAGCTATGCTGTTACTGAAGAGTACATGTATGGCAGTAAAGCTGATGATGACAATGATGATGATGATAATGATGATGATGATGAGGATGATAGTTTGATGATGCTGGTGATTGGATTGCTTCCCTGGAACACCTTTTTAATTGAGGACTCTATCTCCAGCTTTTAAGTTTTCCAGTGCCTAAATGGGTTTGGGTTCGGGTGGAGTAAAGTTAAAAAATGAACATCTGTGATGATTTCTTTTATTTTACTTCTTTTCCCTTTTAACAGCAGTATTTCTAGAGCAAACAGGTTCCTTAAAGTATCCATGGTAGCCAATCAGGAGCACAATAAATTACTGACATATATTATAACAATATCACTTACAGGATTCACAGCATCATTCCTCAAAGCTGAATTGTACATCAGTTCTGATCTCAAATGGCCTGTGCCGAGGAGTAGAGGGGATTTTGATGCAATTTGACACACTCCCTCATACCACTCATGTGGCCACAAACCAGAACCTTCAACACCAAAACCCATGACAACACAGTAAAGCCAGAAGTCACGGAATAACTTGTGCAGGCGAGGCTTGGGGTCAGTAATGACAGGGAGTCGCTGCATTACAATGGAGATGACAGGGATAAGGACACCAAGGTTACCAGCACTGGATGAAGCCTAGAAGGATAAAATAGGCAATGATCAGCTAAAAATAGTTTGACAAAATGCCTTTTCAACTCTCTTCAATACAAAAACCATTCTCCTAAGCTGCCAGCTTACTTGCAGACACTCGCTTCCTGAGTTAGGGCGTGACCAATGTGTTGTTTGATAGCCTGGGGCTAATAAATAGATTAAGGAATAAAATCTCCAGATTTCACAGGTCAAGACCTGCTTATCTGCTGGTGTGTGTAATGCTAAAGGCTTGTTAGCTTAATTGCTAGAGCACTGCACCGGTATCACAGAGGTCAAGGGTTCGAATCGTATACAAGCCTGAATTTTTTTCAGGCTTTCTTTTCACAACTGCAAAAGTTGCATGTACAACTGCGATGATCATCCTTCATTTAATGCTAAAGGAAGGATTACAAACCAAAAGTCCTATGTAGAAGAACTTTATTACTCATGAATAGCCTGCCTCACAGACATAATCTAACTTCAGTTTATAGTAACATCTGCGAAACAGGGCCAATATCCTTGTTCTGGGCCCCAAATGGTCTCAATGAATTAATGGAAATGTTTCAAATTTTCCCTCAACCCAACTGGCAAATCAAAAATCATGGGATGTTTTACAGTCCAATCATGGTCATACTCAAATATACTACATCGGTGGAAGCCCAGAACAAGGATTTCCCTCCTGTTTTGCAGATGGACTTTTCCATAAGCTTAGTTCCTCAGTCTGTACAACAGGCTGATTCATGAACGGACCTTGAAAGCAACTGGTGCTTTCTCACTGGCTCTCTTGCTTTCTAAACCCAGCTGTACAAACAGTTCCAACAAACGCACTAAGTAATCCTGCAGCTGAGTCTCTCCCTTCAGATTGGCAGCCACATTGGAAAAGGCATTGATAACAGCAAGGCCACAATGCCTGAATAAAAGTACAAATCAATAACTATGTGTTAGAGAGTCAGAGAAAAGAAATGCACTTTATTTGAGTGTCAATGTATTTACAATTAAATAGCACAAAAGCACTGATTGAGGATACTATTTTTATGTCTCCTACTGGAGATGGGAGGGACTGCCACTTTACACGGTCATTCAAGCCACTTGAAGGTCTAGCTGTTGGCAGGGCAAATGCAGAACCTTCACTCCTCGATTATTATTTTTAAGAACCTGAGTATTGGTCTGGCTGCGAGAATTCAACCTGTGACCTGCAGCATTAGAGACAAGTGCTTTACTGACTGAGCTAGTCCTTCCACAGAGATATGTAACAAGTCGCAAGTCCTCTTTTGACTTTGAAAGAGAATTGTAACCCAGTTCAACCATTATTCAACATTCTGTTTTACTTTATTTTAA